TGAAACCAGGCTTAATAGCAGTGACTGTGAGGGGGATCTTGGAGTCTTAGTGGACAACCAGCTAAATAGGAGCCGGCCGTGTGTGGCAGCAGCCCAAAAAGCCACCGCAATCCTAAACTGCATTAAGAGAGGGATGCAATCAAGATCAAGGGAGGTACTGATATTACTCTATAAAGCCCTATTAAGACCACACCTAAAATAATGCATCCAGTTTTGGTCACACTATAAAAAAAGATGTAGAGTCTCTAGAAAGAGTGCAGAGAACGGTTACAAGAACTGGGCGTGGCTACTCTAGGGAAGAGAAGGACCAGGGGAGACAGGAGAGCATCTTCCAATATTAGAGGGGCTGTCACAGAGAGGAGGGGGGGGTCAAGCTATTTTCCAAAGCACCAGAAGGCCAGAGAAAGAACAGTGGGTGGAAACTGACCAAGGAGAGATTCAACCTGGAAATAAGTCGAAATTTTCTGACAGGGAGAACAATCAACTAGGGGAACAACAGTTGCCTTCTGAAGTTGTTGGGGCTACATCACTGGAGGCTTTCAAGAAGAGACTGGACTGTCATTTGTCAGAAATGGTGTAGGGTCTCCTGCTTGAGGGGGAGTTGGACTAGATGACCTACAAGGTCCCCTCCAACTCTGCTATTCTGTAGTAGAACAGCATTATCTTCCCCACCTCCTTCTTAAATCCTCGATTCGTCTTGGTCCAATCCCCTTTTCTTTATTTCTTTGTTCAATTTATATGCTGCCTATCTCGCCAGCGCGCAACTCTAAATGACTTATCATGCAGGAAAAACCATATTATCTTGCCTCGAGACCCCTCCGAGGGATTTATTGGGGGGGGGAAGAATGTGGGAAGGAGCCCCATGCTCCTGTTCCCCCCCGCCTTCCTTACCAAGTGATGGGGACCGACGCTTCTTGTTCGGCACCCATCGGAATTCGGCTCTGGAGGTAGTGAAGTTGGCCCAGGTATTTCCGTAAAATGCTGCATCCTTCGAAATCCCTCGGCACGTTGACAGCGTTCTGCGGAGAAAAATCGGGTTTACAACATCGTCACCAACAAGATGCTTCGTCAAAGCTGGAGGAAGAGATTTTGTGAAGGCGAGACATAGCGGATCACAACATTAAGTTGCGTTGGAGAGAAGGGACGTGTCCTACCAAGACTTTCCTGAAATAGGGGGGAGACCCTTTTTCTGGCATTTCCTGACCTGGCAAAACAGGGGAACCTCACCTGCCGGAGCTGTTCAAGTTTCTTCAGCTCCTCGTTATAATCCTCCGGATTCTCTCCGTAGTTCTTCAGCACAAACTGGCAAGGAATAGAAAAAATAAAAATAAAAATAATTATATATATGTATGTATGTATGAATATATTCATTCTGAAATGGGTGGAGGTCTTTTATATCAACTTCCCTATTGTGTGTGTGTGATATTAAAATATTAATTTTTGAAATGGGTATCAGCTTAATATCAACTTCCCTATTATACACACATATGTATATTATAATTAATATATTAAAATATTAATTCAGAAATTAATTTATGGCAGTCGGAGAATCCTGAGGATCACATGATCTCTTTTTGCGACTGTCCAACGGGCAAAAGTCAATGTGGAAGCCAGATTCACTTAACAACTGTGTGAGTAACTGAGCTGCAGCGATTCACTTAATGGCTGTGGAAAGAAAGGTTGTAATACGGGGGCAAAACACACTTCACAAATGTCTCATGACAGTAACACTGGCCTCCATTGTGGTCTTAAGTCGAGGACTACCTTTACACCAAGGACCTCCACGTGACGCCCCAATATTAAATTCCAAGGAAAGGATAGAGGATCAAGGACCATGCCTCCCATACTAGCTGCACCCATCAGGCTGTGGCTGATGGATCTTCTCCCCTTTGGGCATCTCAGGAAAAGGGTGGGGTGGGGGAGGGAATCATGTCCTCATTCCAGGGGGATTAAAATCCCCCCCAAACTCCCCCTAAGACCTCCAAGACCAGCTGCACCCCCCCACCCACCCAGGCTGTGGCTGATGGGTCCTATTCCTTTTGAGCATCCAGAAAAAAAGGGGGTGGGGGTGGGAGGGGGTCTTTAGCCCTTGCTTCTTCCCTTAAAACCAGACAGCCTACAAGACCAGCTGCAATATCCCCCCCCCAAGCTGTGGCTGATGGGTCCTCTCCCCTTTGGGCATCCCAGGAAAAGGGTGGGGTGGGGGAGGGAATCACGCCCTCATTCCAGGGGGATTAAAATCCCCCCCAAACTCCCCCTAAGATCTCCAAGACCAGCTGCACCACCCCCTCTCCCAGGCTGTGGCTGATGGGTCCTTTTCCCTTATATACTCCTTTGGGAAACCCAGGAAAAAGAGGGGCGGGTGGGTCTGATGCCCTCATTCCTAGGGGGATTCCAGACCCCCTAAAACCAGGAAGGCCTCCAAGGCCATCTTCAACCCCTCCCCTTTCCCAGGCTGTGGCTGATGGGTCCTCTCCCCTTTGGGCACCCCAGGAAAAGGGCGGGGTCCGACAATCTAACCCCTCCCCCAGCCCCTAAACTGCCCCTTGAACCAGAGGGGGGGGGCTGGGCGACCCCTCCCTTTCCCAGCCCCCACCCTCCTGTGGCCCGCGGGCGCCCGGTTGGCGAAGGAGGCCGGACCCCGAAATCCAAAGCCGCCGTTTATCGGGGGGGGGGGGGCGAAGTGTGTCGGAGGACCCCCAGAAAAGGGCCGAGGGCGTTTGGGAGCGAAAAAAAGAGGGGAAAAAGGGGGATCCTGAGGTAATTATAGCCACCCACACACAGACACACGCCCCGCCCCCCTTCCCCTCAGCGCCGAGCAGGCCTCACCTTCTTGACGGCCGACTGGAAGCTGAACTCGGCGGCCTCCTTGAGATCCAGCCAGATCATGGGCATGCGGGGCACAGCCTCCATCCCGCCGGCCGCCTCCCGGCTCCCCAAACCCGACCTCGCAAGTCGGCCAGGCCGAGAAGGCGGCTACGGCAAACAGGCCTCTCCGGAAACAGCCGAGCGGCGGACGAGTCGGGCCGAAGGAGGAGGAGACACGCCCACGCGCAGGCGCACTCGCCCGCAATGCCCGCCGGGTGGGGTAGTTCCACTGGGAGTAGGAGGGCGCAGGCGCAGTAGGGAGGGTTGAGCTATGAGACAGAAGGAAGGGAAGGGAGGAAAAGAGGGAGAGAAGAAGGGATGGGAATGGGAGGGAGGGAGGAAAAGATGGACAGAAGAAGGGGAGGAAGGGAATGGGAGGGGAGGAAGAGAAGAAGGGGAGGCGAGGGAGGGAGGGAAAGAAGGAAGGAAAAGAGACAGAAGAAGGGAAGGAAGGGAATGGGAGAGGAGGAAGGAAGGAAAAGAAGGACAGAAGAAGGGAAGGTAGGGAATGGGAGGGGAGTGAGAGGAGGAAGAGAAGGAGGAAAGAAGGAAAAGAGGGAGACAAGAAGGGAAGGAAGGGAATGGGAGAGGAGGGAGGGAGGAAAGAGGGGAGAGCAGAAGGAGAGGGGAGGGACAGAAGGAGGAAGGAAGGAGTGTAGGAAGAGAGGGAGAGAAAAATGGAAGAGAAGCATGCTTTAAGATGGGCGGACTTCAACTCCCAGAATTCCCCAGCCAACCATTCATTTAGCAATTGATCCAAGAGATGACATCCCTGAAAACAATGACTTACAACAGTCCTCGGCCGGGATTGATTAAATGTTGTTAATATTTGGCTTTATTAGTAATCCCACACATTTGGAATATTGAAGTTATGATGGAACAATGAGTAATTCTTAAAATATTAAATATTAGTAATTTAGTAGAGGAATAACAAATACATGGCGTAAAGAAAGGTTATCTATGTTTAAATGAATTAATGGGGAAAATGATAATGACAAAGAGAATATTGTTTTTTTAATATAAATTTTTATTTTTATTACACAGACAACATACACACAACAATAAAAAAAACATCACATACAGCATGTCGTTTGGTTACAGGTGTTTTTACATCCATATTCTCGAATAACATTTATCATCTCGGATTTTTCATCTAGTATAACTAAATACCTCACTTTCATTGTACAGTATATGTTCAATTACGATTAGTATTATTTATTTTCCAATAAATCATATTTCCCTTACATTCTTGATTGTCTATTTGATAACAGTTTACCTTTATATAATCCCCATGTCACTATTTTCCATTATACATAATTCCACCAATCA